AAACCTAGCATGTTATTATTTATTAGTATTAATTATCTAGTATAAATCTAGTGTCTTACTTATATATAATTTAATGTATTAAGTGCTTTCTGACATGAACTACTGATCCACTCGGTGCACAGGACTCACCATACATCCCTAAAAGAGGGCAAATTAAGCTGACTATAAGCTAGTTCTTTTCTTGAAATGGCTTCTGAACCTCTGTGACCTTAAGTTTCCTGCTGTGACTTTTCAGGAACAGACATTTCCTTTCTCTTGCTCGAATTCCACATTTGAACAAAGTGGGACAGGAAGGGTGACAGAGAAAGGATCAAGAAGATGGCTTCATAAAATACTGACCTTTGACCAAAACCGTATCCAGAACTCCCTAGATAAGGCTTCCAGGTATTGTGGTTGTGTCATATCAGCGGCTGTGATAAAGCGCATGGCCCCGAGACTGCCTGGGATTAGCAGGGAGACAGAGAAACGTACTGAAACAAGGTACAGGATCAGGAACAGATACAGTCTGAAAAAGTGCTCCCTAGGAACAGTATGACCTTCTCTGTAACAGCCCCCAAACAGTAAAGTTTATGTTGATTCACAGTATCTTCCATGCTGCTATAAGTCACAACCATATTTCTCCAGAAATTCCTCCTATAGTTAAAAATGCACAGACTCCTTATTGCTCACAGATAGAGGAAGAGGCTGTGGACAAGGAATTCATCTTCACTTTTACTGTTAGGGAGAACTCGAACCAGAAGTGCTACAGTTGAAAAATACCAGCTAAGCTAAGTCTCTTACTCACTTGTACCAAAGATATGTTGGAAGACATCTTCTGAAACTTGTACAGGCACTTGGTAGTATTTTGCCATCCTTTTTATATCCTTCAGCATGTATTCTGCACGCTTTGGCAACATTGCTGGGGGCTTGTTACCTTTCAGGAAAAAGTTCTGTTGAGATTTTCAACTGTATTATAGTAACATTGGATAAAACAAAACTGGACAAATTACACCTCATGCATGCATGTGCCTAAGGAGGAGTATAATTTCATACTGGCTTACTGAAACATGCACAGCTTTTCCAAAGATAACGCTAGGATTTAAACATGATTGATTTCGGTTTGGCACAGATTAACCCTTTTAAGTTTTTAAACTGAGGTACAATATCCTAGCAGGGATATATATTGATTCAGACAGATGACTTTTAAACTAAACAACCACTAATGCATGGGTAAACAAACGTAGAGACTTGTTAATTTCATGATTTCTAAGTCTCAGTGATTAATTTGTTCCAATAAGGCAACAAGTATTATTTTAGGGCATACCTGGATCCTTCAGGCCTATTACAAACTGCAAGTGTTCCACAAATTAATTCTGCTTTGAACTCAACAGAAAACTTTTAGGATAACATTCCATATCAAATTATTATTATCTTATTTTAGAACTGATGAACTTTGGCATAGACTATGTGTGCCACAAACAGCGGCTGTGTAGTTGCAACAGTATGAAATTCGCTGTGACCGATTTCTCAGTTGCTACTGAGCTCCACAGTCCTATAGTTAATCTGTTATTGGTGCCAGAATTTAGTTTAAAGCTGGGTCTGTGGGCTCTGCACTCACTAAGAGCTTGCCTGCTAGTGAAAAAGGTATTTTTCTACAGAGCTAATCTCCCTGTATTGCCTACCACTTGCTTGCATTATGCCACCAAGGAAAGCTGGACGAAAGCGCAGATCAATATTCCAGATGCGCTGGTACCGGCACAGCACCTGCACCACAAAAAAAAAGTAGTGAGGGATTAACAAAGGAGGTGTCTATAGAGCTGTGTGCAGCTAGGAAATAAGCTAAGGCATTAAAGACACTGCAGCTAAATCCTTTTCTGTTACATTTTGAGGGTGGCTGAGCCCTGGCACAGGCTGCCCAGAGAGGTGGTGGAGTCTCCTTCTCTGGAGATATTCAGAACTCGCCTGGGTGCCATCCTGCGCAACTGCTGTAGGTGACCCTGCTTTGGCAGGGGGTTGGACTGGGGGATCTCCGGAGGGCCCTGCCAACCCTGACCGTTCTCTGATTCCATATTAGTGATACTCCTAGAAACCCTTTCTGGATGCTGCCAAAGAACTCTCATCTCACAAAAACCGAAAGGCCCACATTCGTATTACGACTGTACAAGTCTAAGCGGAGGTAAACAGGCGAAAGGTCAAGGTCATGAGCGGGCACTTGTTAACATCAAAGCTATCCCTAAAGCAAAACGTTCCGCAGTAACTCCCAAACACACACAGGCCACGCTGGGTTTGGCCGAGACACGCTTCCTTAGTGTCCCCGGTTTTCAAGGCGTGAGGAAGGAACCGAAATACCCCTCACAACCGAGATGATAAAAATAAAACCTAAACACCAGGCGGGAAGGGCACGGCCAGACGAGCTGCCCTTCAGCCGCTCGAAAAGGGAGGGAGGGGCGGGCGGGAGCGGCGGCCCGGAAGGCCCAGGCGGCGGGAGAATGGCGGGGCGCCCCGGGAACGGCCTCCCTCCGTCTCCACACCCCCCTCACCTCAAACCCCAGCCAGGAGTA